TTATTATTTTTATGTATATGAGTGTTTTTGTCTGCATGCATGTGCCTATAACGCCCGCCCCCATGCCCTCCCCACATACTCCTGTGCAGAGACAAGCAGATCCTTGAAGCTTACTGGCTAGTCAGCCTGGCCAAATCAGTAAGCTTCAAGTTCAGGGAGAGAATAAAGTTGGAGGACCAGTGAGATGGCTCAATGGGTAAAAAACGCTTGCCTTGCAAGACTGATGACCTCAGTTCAACCCCTAGAACCCATCCATGTTAAGGTGGAAGGAAAGACTAGACCCACAAAGTTGTCCTTTGACCTCTATATTTATACATACCTACTCATGAGAATGAATAAAATGAAAAAATTAAAATAGTAAAAAAAACGTAAAAGTGGAAAATAATAATGGAAAAAAGATCTAAAGTCAACTTTGGGTATATTCACTTGGGCACACACACAAAGTATCTTGAATGGTATCTAGTACTTTTTCCAGCATTAATACACTGGTCTTTTAATAATTTATTTACTTACTTTTTTTGAGACAGGTGTTTGTGTTGCCAAGCTAACCTGAGACTTCTGGCATGACTGGGATGCACCAATGGCACCAAGCACCCAACTCAATACCCTGAAACTCTACTTAGCCACCATATATCAGAATTTAAAAATTCTCCACAAGAATCTTTACATCTTAGACATACACAATGCTCTGCAAATTAACTGAAATCTGTTCTGTTCTAATAGAAATGAAGACCAGCTAGTTTTCATGCTCCACAGATTGTAAACTTACCATGTTCTGTACTTGGCATTATCACCAGTCTTTGCACAGTTGGGTCAACAACTACTACAATAATGGCAGTTTTCCTCTTGGTTTGCTGTTAGGTCTGACAGTGCATATGTTTAGAAATGACAGTCTTGGCTTAGCACGAGCGGGCTATAGGAGAATTTCTGATGGCTAGATAAAAGCCTGTATTCCTCAGGAACTTGTGGGACAGTTCCGGTTTAGTTCCATCTGCAAAAGGGGCTATTTCCCTTGCCTCGAGCAGAAGAGACATATGGCTCTCCACTGACCTATACCCATAGTAGCACATCAAAACCCATGCTGGCCTCGAGGCTCCTTCAGTCCCTACTCACATGCACATTTCAAAGCCCCCAGTGGTAGCCTCCTTGCTCTCTGCCTCCACAGTTCCTCCCGTACTGTGTTGGCCCTCGCACAAACTCCCTGTCCCACCTCAGTTGGCCCCCTTCTCTTCAAGATAGTCCTGGCTACATTAAGTCTGTTTCCTTTTCCTCTCTGCTCTTGACTCTTCCAGATGCCTCTGGATGTTCTTTCTTATCCACAATAAAATCTTCCCCTAACCGCAGAGCAGCCATTTGGGTGGTTTCTTTACCATGTTCCTTGTTCTGGACAATGTGTGGGTCCCCTCCCTAGACTCTCCAGGTTTCTGACATTCTCCAAGTAAAGTGGTAGAAAGCTTTTATCCCTTTTCTTCTCCCTCTCTCACAACCTCACTCCTACTTCTCCTTTTCCTCAGTTCTCTTTCTACCTTCTCCTCTTAGAAGGCTTGCAGTGACATACTCTGTGTGGTGTGGTGCTTTGTATTCAGTGTACTATGAAGACCAGAAAATATAAATACAATCTCACTACTGCAATTTTAGTTTTAGATTCAGTGGCTGTAGAGAGAAAAATCTCCTCACCCACACAATTTTTAATCTGGAAAAGTCACAAATGTTTCCGTCATGTGTTTTAGCCAAATAACTATTTTAAAATGAGGATTCCCAGGAGAGTAGAGGCAATTGCTTTGCAAAGGGCAGGGCAGCTTTTTGTTCCTGAACATGCCTTTTGTTGACTCAGGCTGGTTTGTTGCAAACAGCCACTACTGTTCTTGGTGGGTAAAGCTGAGCTAAAGTTCCTCATGGAAAGTTTTACAGACAGACAATAGGGCAAACAAAATGTGTGTGAGCAGAGAACTCCTGCCCCAACAGCTGCTCATCACCAGGAGGAAGTTAGGTGAGTTTTCCAAGCAGAACATGCTGGTCCCAGGAGAAATATACAGCTTCAAAGAAGGGTTAGAAAAAGTGTGCACTAATGGATGGATCTAGATAACACCATATTGAGTGAGGTAACCCAGACCCAGAAAGACAAATATAGCATGTACTCACTCATAAGTGGCTTTTAGACATAAAGCAAAGAAAAACCAGCCTACAGGACACAGCCCCAGAGAAACTAGACAACAAAGAGAACCCTAAATAGAGAACATACATGGATCTACTACATAGGAAGGTGAAAAAGACAAGATCTCCTGAGTAAACTGGGAGTTTGGGACTCACAGGAGAGAGTAGAAGGGGAGAGGAAAGGAAGAGAGGGGAGAAAAATGTATAGCTCAATAAAAATAAAAAAAGGAAAAAGAAAAAGCACGTATTTGCTTCTCATGTGCTGTAAGAGAATGCTTGCTCACTGTGCCAGGATCTGAGAGAAAGCACATAAAAACTCACATATCAACTTACTAGGTGGGAAATGAACATAAGTACTTTAACAATTCCTTCATCATATGGTAATTCTGAGATATTCACCACCACAAAAATGGTAATAATACACACACATAACTAATAAAAATAGGCCATAGAGATTTTAAGTAGCTTGTTCAAAGTAAGACAGTAAATTAGTATCTGTGCCTATTTCAAATGTGGGTCTAATTTCAGAGCATAAACAGATTAGCATTAGTGCAGATTCACACCAGGGAGAACAGATCAATTTTGATGAAAAGTTTTGGCTGAACATCCAAATATTTTTAATAGGGTATAAATACAATTTTTATCAATGAAGATCTTCCTTAAGAATGGAAAGTTAGGGCTGTGGAGTTGGCTCAGTAGGAAATGTCTTTTGCCACCAAGCCTAAAGACCTGAGTTTGATCCCTGGGGCCACATGGTGAAAGGATAGTAAAGACTCCTAAAAATTGTTCTCTGGCCTCCTTATATGTGTGTGACATGCACAAACACACCTTCAACAAATGTGTGTGTGTGTATAATTGATTTATTTAGTTTTTAGAGACAGGGTTTCTCTGTAGCCTTGGAGCCTGTCCTGGAGCTGGCTTTGTAGACTAGGCTGGTCTCAAACTCAAAGAGATTCTCCTGTCTCTGTCTCCCGAGTACTGGGATTAAAGGTGTACTCCACCACCCCCTGGCAAATAAGTGTAATTTTAAAAAATTACAAATAATAGGAAGCTAGTAACACCAGGGTTATAGGACAAAAGATCACGGAATAAAGACAGATGTGTTCTTTCTCTCTTCTTTGAGACAGGGTCGCTTTTAGCCCTCGCTGGCCTGGAACTCTCCATGCAGACCATGCTGGCCTCAAACTCATAGATCCTTGGCTTTGCCTCCTGAATGCTGGGATTAAAGGTGTGCACTACCATCCCCAGATCCCGCTCTTACTTTTCTTGTTGCTATGATTAAATACCTTAATAAAAACAAGAGAATGGGGGAAAGTTTATTTGGCTCACAGTTCAGGGTACAATCTATCATGGCAGGGAATGAAAGATGGCAGATGCTGAAAGTGGCTGGTCACACAGCATCCAGTCTGGAGGTGGGACACTATGAACATTGGTGCTCACCTTACCTTCTCTCCTATAGAGTCCAGGATTCCTGCCCACAGAATGGTACCATTCTCAGGGACAGGCTCTTCCTACCTGACCGTTATCCAAGATAATCCCTACAGCCTGCCAACGCCAGTCTGCCAGGTGATTCTAGAGCTCATCAAACTGACAACTGAAATTAGTCATCATCACACATTTACCTGTGAATTACTAACATTAACATCTGTTTTGTTTGTTTGTTTTTTGAGACAGGGTCTCAACTGAGTAAGTGGCCTGGAACTTGCTATATAAACCATACTGGGCTCCAATTCAGAGATCTGCCAGCACTTGGGAGTAAAAGTGTACGACAACACTGCTCAGGTCCTAGGTGACATTCTTGTTTACATCCACCAATAAACAGTGACATCTTGTTAACATCTGTCTATGAATGGTGACACCTTGTTCACAGGTATCTCTGAATGCTAACATCTTATTAACCATTATCTATTAATAGTGATACTTTACAGTCTATAGATAGTGACATCTTCCTAACAGCTATCTATGAATGGTGACACTTTGTTAACATCTAAGTCATATATACACAGACACAAGTATGACATGTTTGAGGTGAGCCTTACTAACTGTGGTGGTTTAAAAGAACATGGCCCCAAAAGGCAGTAGCACTATTAGAAGTGTGTCACTATGTGGGCCAGCTTTGAAGTCTTTTCCTCAAGCTTCACTCAGTGTGACAGTCAGTCAACTTCCTGTTGCCTCTAAGTCTAGATATAGAACTCTCAGCTCCAGCATCACATCTATCTGCCTGCATGCCACCATGCTCTCCATCCTGGTAATGAACTGAACCTCTGAAACTGTAAGCAAGCCACCTCAATTACATGTTTTTATTTTAGGAGTTGTCATGGTCATGGTATCTCTTTACAGCAATAAAAACCCCTAAGACACTGACCTATTACAATAGTAGAAGACTACCTGCACTAAGCCCCACTCCTAGTCACTCTGAGGTCCAGATTCGAAACGGACACTAGTCAAGTTCCCACACCTTCACCAAGCAGTCTTTTTCCACCTCTTTGCCACATTAAAAAAGAAGAAAGAAAGAAAGAAAGAAAAAAACTGATGCCACTTATTACCATTTCTCAGATTAAAACATTAGTTTCTAACCAGCATATCATAAAATACACTCATCACCCAGATTCCATGCTAATTTATCTAAGTATCCAGTTATAAAAACTAATGCTATCATTAAAATAACTTTAAACATTCCACAATGTATTTGAGGGTTTTCCTCTCAAAAACCAGTTTTCATTGAGAGTTTTCAAAGTTAAAAGTAGCAGTTAGAGTACTTTAAGTTTGCAACTGTCACAATGACCTTGAAAAGTAAATTTACGCAAACATTTGTAAAAAGGAGAATGGAGGGAAAATGACATTACCACTTCCTGAGATGCATATTGAGGGTCCTCCGGGTTGACTGACCAATAGCAGTAATCAAAACCAAACGCTACAACCTTCTCCCGGGTGTCTCCAGACCTCTCTGGTCGACTGTTCACCTAAAATTAAACACAGCATCCAGTGTCTTTCCTGTCATATCATTGGAATCTGGACAGTGGCCCTTAATTATGCTCTCTGTGATTACAGAGACCTGGACTATCACTATAATGTTTACAACAGCCACAAAAGAAGAGAGGTAACATCTATCTCCATCTCACTAGGAACAAAGAAGGACCCAGGAACTAAATATGCCCATGACACAAGCCTGTGTCTGCGCACAAACACATGAACTATAGGACAGCGCAGGAGAAAAAGGCTCTTTTACAGGACTTCTCCATCACTCGTTCTTCCCTAGGCATTTCTATAGAGGAGACTGACAGCATGAGCAGCACAGCCTCTGGGTGCAGCAGATTTCATCACCTTGGAGCTTTCGCTGGGATCCTTCAGGAATCTACCTTCAGTGACTTGGAAATAGTATTAAATGGAATAACCAGGAATAATATAGCTGCTGAACACAGGGTAGGGCCAAAACGTGGAACTATGCTGAGCCCTGGGTACTGGGTAGAATGGCTGGCATTCTTCACAGACATGCCTAGTCTTGGTATTTAAACTGTGGCACTCAGGAGTTAATGATCTTCCTATGATAAAATGCCTTTTGCATTTTCATCCTCTCCAGAGACAAGAAACTGAAGAATGGACACCTGGTGCACACCCTGAGTTCCTAGTTCACTGGTATAAAATGGCCAGGATGCTACAAAATCACCAGTCGGTAAGCACGCACAGCTTTGCGTGCTGGCTGCTCCACTGTCTTCTGCCAGCTCCAAGTGGGAAAGCATGGCCACAGAGGGTGCTCCTTGAGGAGGAAGCAGCACTAAGAGTGCCCATATCAAGGTTAAGGGGAAAATATACCCAAAAACACATTTTAGACAAGAAGAAAGTTAGAAAAGGGGAAGGCAGCTCTGACATTAGCCATTCAAAATCTACAGAAGAACATGGATGTCATAATGAATAATAGCTTGTTCATAAACAACTGACCTTAGGGAAGCCAACAGCTAAGGAAGTGTGTAGAGGGCAAACTGGAATCTGTCCTTGGGTGCTTGAGAGGTGGCTCGGAGGTTAAGAGCACTGGCAGCCCATCCAGAGGACCTGGGCTTGATTCCCAGCACCCACATGGTGGGTCTAACCATCTGTATCTCCAGGCCTGGGGGATCTGATACCCTCTTCTGGCCCCCTAGGCCACTAGGTACCTATGTGGTACATAGACATATATGCAGGCACAACACCCATACACATAAAATAATATTTTTTAAATTTGCTTTTAAATTTTCCTCTTGGAGGGCTGGAGAGATGGCTCAGTGGTTAAGAGCATTGCTTGCTCTTCCAAAGGCCCTGAGTTCAATTCCCGGCAACCACATGGTGGCTCACAACCATCTGTAATGAGGTCTGGTGCCCTCTTCTGGCCTGAAGACATACACACAGACAGAATATTAAATAAATAAATAAATATTAAAAAAAAATTTCCTCTTGGACATACTTTATTCTCTAGACCCAAGAGTGTAAGATCTTATAACAAAACAGCTGAAGTGACTAGCCAGGGCGGTAAGAGAGAAGGCATGGGATGGAAGGCCCTTTGTTCTCCAGGAGCTCCTGCTTAAACTTTCACAGGACCCCTCCTTTAACAGGAGCTAATGACAAGAGGAAACAAGTCACAGCAGGGAAGTAACGGGGGGGGGGGGGGACTAGAGCTCTGAGGGCTGGGATTTAGACGACCTTCACTCTGCCTCAGCTTCCTCAGCTCTAGGAAAGGCTGGCATTGCATCACAAGCTAACTACAGCATCAATCACGTGATCACCTCCCTGGCTTCTTTCCACTGCTCAAGGTCCACAAAAGAAGAACCAGCTCATCTTCTGCATCAGGAAGGATGGAGGAAGTTGACTCTGGAGGGCAGGGTGAGGAACAGGGAAGGAAGTTTCCCTTGTCTGCCCAGTTGTGCTCCAAATTTAAGCAGGGTTGTGGAAAAAGAAATCTGAACAAGACTCGGGCTAGTGACCAACTCCCTTCTGGGATCTGCAGGCTGATGTCTGACATCTGGACCGTATTATGGCCAACACAATCCCTGCATTATCAGACAAATACTAAAATTCCTAATAATGACCTGGATAAAGTATTATCAGTTGAGGGGCTCAGGATAAAGTTTAACTGGTGGCCAGGTGAGTTACATAGGCATACAAATTGCCCCCAGCATGAGTTAGACTAATTACATAGTCTGGATTTGGTTTCAAAGCAGCTCCTATCAGTTTCCAAAACAGCTGCACTATTCTATTTAACAGCATGGACTACAACGCCACATTTTCTGGACTCTAAGCATAATTCTTTTGTTGTTTATTTACTTTATGATTGGTCTAAGCTTTTCCCACAATCCTTACATCTCCTGCTTTCTAATATATTAAACATATTCACCCCAGAGTCCCCTTTAATTATAGATTCGTACCTAAGAAAACAAACACAATTTCAGGCTTACCTTCAAATTCCTGATTTTTGCCACTTTGTCCTCAACTTCCACAATAATTCTTCCCCCTTCTTTGGCCTCGCTAAGAAATGAGAACAGAATTCCAATGAGAAGAAATACTTTTTGTTTTCTTTTCTGAAACAGAATCTTAGGTAGCCCAGGCTGCTTAAATCTACTCTCTAGCCAAAAATGACTGAGCTTCTGATCCTCCTGTCTCTTCTTCCTAAATGCTAGAATTACAGGCATGTGCCACCACATCTGGTGCCCACTTAACACTAACACACACACATCAGAAACAAAAACAGAAAAGACAAAAAGAAATTAGTTTTCTCACTCCTGTCCCTGTTCCAGGAAGTGCAATGTCTGTCTCCATAAATAGCCAAAAGCACGTGAAGACTCCCTTGAGGGCACACTTTCCTGATCAGACACTTTGACTCCGGAAGCACTAACTGTCACCACCATTTATTTCGGTGATAATGTATAAAGCACCATATTGTGTATGGATACTGTAATTTCCCTACCCACCCTACTCTCCTGATACCACTTCATAGCATGTCTTCATTCTGACAGAATTTTAAAGCCTAGAGAAATTGCATAACTCATCCAAGGCCACCCAGCCAGGACCAGTAACTGAGATTTAAGTCCAGATCTGTCTGATCCTTAACTATAGCTTTAAAATAAGGCTTGGAAAATATCTTTGGTCCAGTGCAAGACACAATTTCTCACCGTCTCTGAACCACTGTACAAAGTACTGATGAGAACACTGCAGTCCTCTCTGCTGAAATGTTGGGCGTACTTCTGAAGTTGGAGAAAGCCAAGGTACTTAGAAATCCTCCTACACTGTCCGTACGTGGTAACACTGATAGCAACTAGCCCACCTTTACATTCACTATAAACTTCTTCTTGCAGTGCTGGGGATTTAAACTTACTCATTTTAATAAGCTTATTTAATAGGCTTATTATGGTGATCCATGCATCTGAAGCCCACTCTTTTCATAACAAAAACCTCTGGCTAGGACAAGATGGCTCATCAACTGAAGGCACTTGGTGTATCTGGAATAAAGTCCTAGATAAAACTTCGCTCTAGCTGGGCAGTGGTGACACATGCTTTAATCCCAGCACTTTAGAGGCAGAAGCAGGTGGATCTCTGTGAGTTGAGGGCCAGCCTGGGCTACAGAGTTAGTTCCAGGACAGCCAGGGCAATACAGAGAAACCCTGTCTTGAAAAAACAAAAAACAAGACAAAACAAACAAAAAATAACTAGCTAAGTAGCATCTTTGTTAGTTGAACTTAAGTTTCTGTTGTTTCTTTCCCCTTAAGGCTTTACTGTACTTTCTTGTCCACTATACAGAAGACAGTACACGAGAGAGGTATTCTTTTGTGGTGGAGGCGATCAAACCCATTGTCTTATACATCTAGGCAAGTGCTTTATCACCCAGTCACACACCCCCAAGTACAGAGATATTCCCAACTCCCAGGATCATCAGTCCACAAGTAGGTGAAATTTTCCTACCTCCTCTGCTCACCTACAGACATGTTGGCATTAAATTTTAAGAGGGCAGAAAGGACATCAATCTCAAGGAAGAAGCTGGCTTCAGCTGGGTGGCACATGCCTTTAATCCTAGCACTCAGGAGGCAGAGGCAGGTAGTTTTCTGAGTTCAAGACCAGCCTGGTCTACAGAGAGTGTTTCAGGACAGCCAGGGCTACACAGAGAAACCCTGTCTCAGAAAACAAACAAAAACCAAAAACAACAACAACAAAAAGAAGCTGACTTCAAACGGTTCAAACCAGTCCTACTAAGGAAAAGCCCTAAGCAAGGCAAAGCAGTCACTATTACTAGCTGCCAGAGCCCATCAGCAGAATCCATCTTTAGCATCAAAGACTTTGAATAGAAGTAAGTCTACAGGCTGCCTACATCAGAATTAAGAAGAATACAAGAAGGCTGAGTTAATTCAAATGTTTAGAGGAGTAGAGCAGATCATAAACCAGCTTCTGGGAGGCAGGGATTTTACGTGTGCTGTAATTTGAAAACCACTGTTCTAGAGGGGAATTTAACCAAGCTATACATTTGTACTTATTCCTTTTTTATTTTATTTTATTATTATTATTTTTTTTTTTTTTTTTTTGGTTTTTCGAGTCAGGGTTTCTCTGTGGTTTTGGAGCCTGTCCTGGAACTAGCTCTTGTAGACCAGGCTGGTCTCGAACTCACAGAGATCCGCCTGCCTCTGCCTCCCGAGTGCTGGGATTAAAGGCGTGCGCCACCACCGCCCGGCCTTATTCCTTTTTTAAAACTCAAAAAAGAAACAAACGAAAAGAGGCCAGGGTTCCCTGATTGCTCTTCGAGCAGATGAGGGAGGGGGACTTGATCGGGGGAGGGGGAGGGAAATGGGAAGCGGTTGTGGGGACGAGGCAGAAATCCTTAATAAATAAATAAATTTAAATAAAAAAAATGTCAAAACTCAAAAAAAAAAGAAAAGAGGCCAGAAGAACAAAAATGATCACTAAAAAAAAAATAAAAATAAATAAATAAATAAATAAAAAATGATCACTAAAAATGATATGACTAACACCTGATTAGACATGAAATGGTAACAGGTGATATGATCAAAGTTCATTATCTACATATGTGCAAATGTCATAATAAAGCCCATTATTTTGTACAACTAAGACATGCTAATAAAATGTTTTATAAAAAGACTGACATGGAGACAGGTGGTGTGGGTTACACTTTTAACCCCAGCACTCAGGGGACAGAGGTAGGCAGATCTTTGTGAGTTTGCCACCAGCCTGGTCTACAAAGGGAGTTCCAGGACAGCCAGGGCTACAAGGAAAAAAGAGAAAAGAAGATTGACATGATTATCATTTTAGTCTATTTTATAGATCAAAAACCAAAACCAAAAAGTGGAAAAAATTAAGGTACCAGGTGAAAGTAGAGGGCAGTGGGGCAGAGCTCAGTGGGGCAGGTGTTTTCTCCAGTGGCGAATGACTCTGGACAGGCAATGGCAGCATCTCTAACCAACAAACAGAATTTCTGATTATGGGAAACATCTGAGGTCAAGGGGAGGCCTCCAAAATCACTTCTGTGTTATTTCATCCAGCATTTTCTCTAGTCCTATAGAACACAGGAACAATTTTGAGCATCTTGGGAAGGAGCAGTGTGGTTTAGTGAATCAAATCCTGCTTCTAGAACTTAAGCAAGACCATGTTCTCATTTGGAGAAAAATAATGTAAGCTTGGGCTAGATAACTTTAATGGTTCCTTCTCAAGCACAGTTGTCAGTCCTGATAACTTATCTGTAAGTTGGGGCAGACAACACAGTCAGCAGACTCTCCATATGCAAAACAGCGTCAATAAGCAGTGGGTACCACCACCATCTCTGCAGAATTCTGTGGGAATTGGAGAATGGTCTAGTCTAAATGTCTTAGCTGAGATCACACTAATTTTTTACAAAACTACTCCTGAATCAGTGACTGTGGATCTGCAGCCTGCTAAAATCAGCTCACACCTGGAGACCAGGAGGCTTGATGATCTAATCTACCACTTACTCTCAAGCCTCTTCACTGGAGCTGAAAGTAAATAAGTTCCCTGATTGTTTTTCATTTTTGTTGGACGAGATATGTTATTCTCGGCATCGACTGCAAGTAACAAAGGGTTTCAACATCCTTTTCTTAATCTAATCCATGCTATTTGAAACTCCTGGTTTCCAAGAACTAAAACGTTAAGAGTGGTCAATACTGCTATCCTAAGAACCCTAAAAATTAGTTTAGAAAGAATGAAATCTACCAGCAGTTACCTCCTCCTGGATAGCTGCTCCCTGGAAGCCTCCAACCCTGAGTCACCTCGTGTAGTTATGCAAACCCAGATGTTTAAAAACCAATTGTCCTGGCTGTCCTGGAACTTACGCTGATAGACCGGGCTGGCCTTGAACACAGAGTGGTTCACCTGCCTCTGCCTCCTGAGTGCTGGAATTAAAGGCATTTGCCAACAACACTGACATGGGTGTATCTTCTTATGTCTTCCTCCTATCTCATGGTTCTCATTCTGTCAAAACTTTTCAAAGCAAATGACCTCTACAAGGACAAAACTAACACCCCATGATACTATTTCTGTCATAGGAGACAAAGCCTTTCTTGACCTCTGTGTACTGGACATTGAAGATTTTTTTCTACAATAAATCCCAAGATATGTCATCTGGTATAGAACCACACTCTGCCAATTTTCTCGCCCATCACTCCCTGCGTCTATCCCACGCACGTGTCCAAGGCTCCCATCTACACCCTAACAGCCTAAATTTACTTTCTCTTCCTGCTCTCTCTTTAGAGAGCTCTGCACTTTCCCCTACCTGTCAGAAAACTCAAAGATCTTTCAGAGCAGTTCAGACATCAACCCTTGTGCAAAGCCTTCTTTGACTTCCCCAGTGGGAGAGGATGAAATGTTCAGTTCCACAATGGTTGCCTCAAGGGCTGAGAGGTGTGGAATGAGGCGCAGGCACAAGGAACTGGCACTAAGGAGCAACTTCCCCTTCCCATGTCACAGTTCTGTTCTTAAATCACGTCAGCTGTTGAGCACAGATTGAAATCACACATTCTCTCTCTGGGCCTCAATTTCCCTCCCATATCCCGACAATCCTTTTTCCTAAGTCCCCACTGAGGAATCCCATGTATATATGTATATGAACACACCCTCCAGTCCTCTCGGATCCTCCTGGGTCACCATGAGGAGTGGAGACTGCCCACCTCTTTGCACCTCCTCGTCATGATGCACGAGAAAGGCCCTACTAAGTGCACCAAGACCCGAGCCAGGATCCCTAGAAACTCTTATTGGCAAGATGCCAGGGATGTGTAGACAGGGCAGCGACCTCTGGAGGGAGGCACACAGGAACCGCTATCTCCTAGTACTTGACGGGAAAGCTAGACTTGAAGCCCTGTCCCTCCGGGCCTTCATGGCTTCAGGACCCTGAGCCCTCAGGGCACTGTGAGTCTGATTTTTCTCCAGGCCAGTCCACCGAGAGAAAGGCGGGTATCTCGCTCTCCTCTCAGTTCACTTGACGCCTCAGGAGCCCCCTCCTGCCAGACTCACCGCTTGCTGAGAGGCCGGACCCTCACGGCCACCTGCACATTCGCCATCCCTCCGCCACAGCCCAAGACCCGCACAGCGGTCCGGCGGAAGCATCCCTGGCCGGCATCCAGCGAACAGACACAGCCACAGGCACAGCAACCACAGACTGCCCCGCCCGCCCCACGCGCCTCCTGGCTGCAGCCCCGGCTCCGCCCTAGGGGGCGGGGCCCTCTGAGCCTCGACCAATCCTGATGAGGGTGGGCGGGAGGATGTGCGGGCCGCTCCGCCTCTCTCCCGCCCAAGTGCGAGCCACCGCCCGACACGGACGGAGCTTCCCAGCCTTGGCCAATCCTGAGACGAGGGGTGCGCTTCCTCGCCTCGCTCCACCCTCTCCACCGCCCCGGACAGCCCTGCCCAAGTATGAGCCTGACAGGGGCGGACCCCGCAGCCTCCAGCCAATTCTGAGAGAGGTGGGCCGGGCCACCAGGTCTCGTGCCTCCTTAGACGCCCCTCGCGTGCTGCGCCACCCACTTTGTTCTAAGATTTGTTGGCAAAGTTTTTGGTTAATACTCGAAAGTTCATGAAGTAAATTGCTAAATATGCTAAATATTGTTCTTACCCTATTGGTCTGAGATATCAAAACTGCTGCTAAATTTTAGGAGCAAAAATGAGGTGCCGCCTCATTTGTGAAGGCTGAGGCAATAATATTATTGAGCTCAAGGTCAACCTGGGCAGCACAGGTGATTCGAGGTCAGCATGGAGTGCAGGTGAAATCCTGTCTCCAAACAATGAAATGGGCAAAACAAATGATTTTGCAGTTACAAGCAGGGTTTAATGAGGAATTTTGTTGTTGTTGTTGTTTTGCTTTGTTGTTTGTTTTTCTAACTTCCTAGCAAGTGTCTCTTTACTGCCCTGGAATGTCACCGCCATCCTAGGAGTATTTATAACACAGAATAAATGCTGTCTATACCTGTAAAACCTCAAACCCAGCTTGAAGTTAGCCAAAACCCCTTCTTGACCAGTGGCACTGATGTGGAGTTGGAAGCCAGCCACAAAGGAAGCTCCTGTATCACATAACAACAAAACAAACAAGGGTCTGTATCCACTAAAGACTTTTAATCATGTATACATCATGATTAGAGAGGAGTGGGTGCAGGGTTAGCCATTACTTAGAGTTTAAAGTACTTTAAAGTTGACTAGGAATCAATTTTTTTTGGAAGCAGCTTTAATTGAAATTTTTATTGAATAATCAGATTTGATAAAGCTAAAATCAAGGACAGCTTCTTTATTTATTTATTTATTTATTTATTATGTATACAATATTCTGTCTGTGTGTATGGCCAGAAGAGGGCACAAGACCCCATTACAGATGGTTGTGAGCCACCATGTGGTTGCTGGGAATTGAACTCAGGACCTTTGAAAGAAAGAGCAGGCAATGCTCTTAACCTCTGAGCCATCTCTCCAGCCCCCAAGGACAGCTTCTTAAAATGAGAATATATGAAGGTAGCATGCCATTTTATTTAAAACTGCGAATCGGTCACATTTTAAAAACGGATGAGAGAAGACATCCTGCAACCATCTGCATTCTGAAGAAATAAGAGAGGGAAAAACTCTAATCCATGCAGTTAGATGCTTCAGCGGGCTGAAGCCTGCTGGTTCCTGAGGTCTGCGGCTCCTGTGAGACCTGGCTGATGGTTTTCACCTGATGTTGAAAAGTTCAGCGGCACTGCAGGAGCAGCCTGCCCATTCCTGCGTGTTGTCAGGAGGGTGGCCAGTGAAGTCTCCTCTACTTTCAGCTTCCCAGAAAAGAGGATACCAACTGTGTAGAAAACAGGACAGACGCATCTCAGCTATTGTGGAATGGCGTGGCCTCAATCCTGAGACAGAACCAATGATTGGTGCATGACAGACGAAAGGCTGGCCAATCATCAGCACCAGTGGTCAGAACAAAACGAATGAGTCCCCTCAGGCTCAGGAAAGACTTCACTGCTCAGACCGGAGAGCAAACCCACAGAGGAAATGAATTACTAGGAATCAATTTTACCAATCACTTTGCTCTCCCACCCACAACCTTTGCTACAGGGCTACCATCCCAAGAAACTGTACAATTTTAGATCTTGTCTGCCTAATTGGCAAAGGAAAGGAAAGTAGCAGGCTTTTTATAGTTTGTGTAATGAAGTCTACTTTGCAGGGTGTTTGGAAAAGCTAAACATGTCTGAAGCAGCTCACCTTAGCTCAAACGTTATCCCTGTTACAGTTAAAAAAAAATGTGTTTCTTTCTTTGTAGTATTATGTTGATTTAAAAATAATCAAGAAGAATTCTCCACCCAGAAAAATACTTTTTTGCTCTAAGTATTTTCAAGGCTACCAGAAGGAGAGACAAAGAAGAAAGAGCTAGAGAAAGATAGGAGACGGGGAGGAGAGCTTGCCCATGAGCTTGCTGGGGTGAGGATGGCAATATAAACACTGATGTGTGGGAGCAGCCCTCATGGCAACCCTTTTATACAACAGAGACTGGAGTATGAGATTCATATGGCTATTACATATAACATACTCTTAAAATAGGAATGAAAATCATTTCAAGCCAAAATATAAAGAAATTGCATAAGAGAAAAACTTGAAAAAGAATCTGAAACCCAGTGGCCCTGTACCACTTGTCCATGGTGATTCTTCAGGATAATACAGGAAGCAACCACTAAATTAATATCCCACCCCCACAAAGGGTTTGAGAAGAATTGAATTTGTGCTTTCTTTTCCCAAAGATGGTCTTTCGGAATGTTTCTCTAGCAGTTTGCATCTTCTGCTAATTTGATTCACACACAGAGCCATGCAGGTGTTGTGCATCATCCACCATTGCTATCACTGGGCCAACTTCAGAGCTGAGGGGCCGGAGGGGTCACATCACTCCTTACTTGATTTTTCTGTGGCATGTTAGTCCACTGACATATTTCTGCCAGTACTTGGCGGCTTAGGTGCTTGCTTGGTTCCTAGGAGCACAGACAATCAATAGGAATAACTGTATAGTAAAAATTTGCTAAATGTTCTTTGTCAAGGGCACTGGGTGGAGCTGTCAGAGAAATGTGCACTTCTTATATAAGCACCAGTGCATTTGTGCCCATTTTAGTTGTTTTCTACTACCCAGACATAAAAATACTAAAAATCCAACATTCGTTGGTTGTATTTTTCTCTCTAGAGCTGGCACTGGACTGTGCATTTTGGTTTTGTCATAATTATCCATGGCATTCATCCTGCACTGGCTGCCTGGTGAAGCAATACCTCCTGCCAGTTTTCATGGGTACATTTTGTGGTTAAAAAGACAATTTCCCAACTCACCAATGCTCATAAAGAAACCTCAGAATCCAATGTGGTTGGGTTTATACTTACAGAACTGACTTAAAAAATACTCCTGTGCCAGCCTTGCCTGTGAGACTGAATAAGGAGCTGAGAGTTCTTGCATCTTGATCCCATAAGCAACAGGAAGAGCTCTGTCTCACTGGGCATGGCTTGAGCATATATAAGACTTGAACGCCTGCCTCCACAGTGACCTACTTCCTCCAACATGACCACACCTACTCCAACAAGGCCACACCTCCTAATAGTGCCACTCCGTTGGTGGGCCATTTTCTTTCAAACTACCATAGACAGCATTTAGTTTTGATGCCACAAAAAGAGAAACGCACCTGTGATTATCACCTGTTCCCACTCCGTTTCTGCAGGGTATCACTTTGGGTTTGGTTTTACCAGGTCTTGTGGTTGTTTTGTTCAGAACTATAACAAAGTAAGGATTAAAGAGGTTAGACATTTCCTTACTAAATGTCTGCAGTCAAAGAAAACAAAACTTGTCAGAAAACTAAAAATCATTTAACTAGGCAATAAAGTAAGGACAACTCACACACACACAAATATGGTCCAGAATATAGAAACCATGTTCTCTTATGAAAGTCCTAAACTTTCACAGGCGAAGATGAAAATCTGAGTCTGTACTGAGGTGCTCACTGAGCTCTGATAATTGTTCTTGAAAAGAGTAAGTAGCAAGGGAATTTCTAATCCTGAGTGGGAGATAATTTCCCTTGCTTCCTGTATGTGACAGCAGACACAGTCCAAAACAGAACTGAAGGAAGATCAGGATTACATTACGTCTAGTGGAAAATTGAGACCTGAAATGTATTTAACATCAAGGCCACCATTCATAACTCGTGAATTGGTGGTCTCTTTGTAGGAGTCTCCAGGTACTGTCTAGTTACAACAGTCCCTGCATACATCCGCTGTAGAACACTGAGCCATGATACCACCATGTCAACCTCTTTCCAGATTGCCTGTCTTTTCATTCTCTTCTGGTTCCCCTCAGCACCTCAGTTTCCTCAAATATAACTCACAGGTCACATCGTAAGCACTCAGACCTTGTCAACCATTACTATTTATTTTACAGAAATGTTTAATCAGCCACATATTAAGCACTTTTCGATGTTTGTAGCACAAATACACATGAAAATCCCTTTTTTTTAATAGAATTTTCTACCTAATCCTGACTTGTACATTCACAGATACTAGTGGCTGAGGTGCCAGCCAGTCTGTAACAGTATCTGATCAGGGTACCAAGAGCATTCACTGTGCTGGGGAATCCTCATTCAACTTAGCAAAGTCACTTCAGACATACTCTGATGTGCCTGTCCAGCCCTGCCCAAGTGCACAGAGTTCTCTGAATGGTACTTTAAGAAATACATTTGCCATGCATAAAGAATATTCATGTCTCTAGACAGTGACAGGAAGTGGAAGAGAACTTTCTATTTACAAGGCAGCCTCATAACACAGACATTATTATTGTGTTTCCAAAAAGCTCAAATTGAAATTTGAATTTAGAGAGATGATAGGTTGGTAGTGTTGGCAGTAGCAGGGAGACACCAGAAGATTAAGTCTGGGTCCCCCTTAGGGATTTCCCTTATGATAAACTCAGGTCCTTTACTACGGCTCAGAAAAAATTTCAAGACAAGCTAGAATGAAGCGAAGTTACTATCTTTGTTACTTTTTCTATTGCTGTGATAAAACACCACAAACAAGGCAATTTATGAGAGAAAGTGCTGCTGGACGGTTGTGGTGCACGCCTTTAATCCCAGCACTTGGGAGACAGAGGC